TTGTCAAATCTTTTATTTACACATTGATTTGTTAGTAATTTAAAACTTTTTACATATTTTAAATTATGAAAAATGTTAACTGCAAATATAAATATGTGTATATATATATATATAAGATACAAGTAAAAGATTTGGCTTAATTTATTATTCAAAGTACTAAAAAAATGCTTTTAGATGAAGTAGTTCTCAAGCCTTGACGATGTTACAATATATCCAATATAATTAGTTCATTTAATTACTTGTAAACCTAGAAGATATTAGAAACCCTTGACGCGAATCAAACATGCATAAAAAGCAACATTCTTGCGTTTCCTTGTTGTAGTGCATTGATGGTCACTGCAGTTCAACAAAATTGTCAGTAAATTGTATTTTTAATCAGTGATCGAACTTTATCATGAGTAGATATTAATTTAATTTTTAACTTTTTATCATTTTCCTTGGAAAAAAAAAAAAAGAAAAGAAAAAAAAAGCAACATTCTTGAGATAATGAAAAGAACTGAGAAAGCGAAGCCAAGCAGGAAAGCAGCGAACCATATACGGTACGCTGCACCACTTCCAGCATGAGGTGTTCCAAAAAGGGCGGGAAAGTGACGGCTGATGACTATGAGTGGGGCCAGCCGGTGGAGCCGGCTATGCCCTGATGTGCCTGCAGATGCTGACGTGGTTAAATTTAAGTAGGAAAATAAATTTGAAATAATTTTTTTATACAATTTTTTTTATAATTTAACGTGTGATTTAAATAGTTAATTTTTTTTATTTAAATAAAATTTATGATATTAAATATATTAATTTATTTATTAACATATAAAAATTATATAAAAAATAATATAAAAAAATTATTCTCGTAACATTTCTCATTTAAGTATAAACCGGTCAACACTCACCTTACCCTTTCTTTTATTTTTTTTTTTTGTTTATTTTAATACTAACTCCATCTTTTGTCAAAGCCATTTCCTGAAAACTAGGCTTTCATTTTGATGATTCCTACGGCTGATTGGCCACTCTTCGCCGTTTGCTTTCAAAATTTGCTACAATAGGCTTATACTTTCATACAATTAATATTCATCCCCATATCTTTTGATTTATTACATCACTGTTCAAGTTTTTTTTTATAAGCTGTTTGACTTGAGGAAACTAGAGTATAGAAGAAAGAAAATTATTTTAATTAATTAAATTATTTTATTAACTAATAATTTAATTTAATTGGTAAGAAAAAGACTACCCCTTGCTCCCTCTCTCGTTTTTCCTATAACTAAACATATATATTATTAATTTTGTATGCCATTCACAACACATTTTTGAGTACATCTAATATTGGGTTAAGCAAGCATAATTCTTTTATTTTCTTAAATCCCATCCCACTTGACATCCTCCACAAAATATCTAAAACATGAAATTACTTTAAACTCCATTTCATCCTACTTTCACTATCTAACAAAAACCTACTTTTAACTTTTTACCTTATTAAATTTATAAATTTTAGCCTTTCACCTATTAAAACTGAGGAAAATAGCTCTTACTTTATAATATTTTGTTAATTCTGTTAACTGATTGTTAACTCTATTAGCTTACTGCTAATTTTATTAGCTGAAAATGGGTTTTTGTCAGTTACCAGTCAACTAATAGAATTAAGAGTCAACTAACAAAATAGTTCTATTAACTAACTGTTAATTTTATTAACTGAAAGTAGGTTTTTGCCAGCTAATTGTTAACTAATAGTTAGTTAATAGAATTAATAGTTAGCTATTAAAACTAACAAAATATTATAAGTGAGAGATATTTTCTTTAATTCCAATAGGTGAAGGGTTAAAAGTGTCATAGTATAAGGTAAGGGGCTAAAACCTAGAAATCTAATAAGGTAAAGGACCAAAATTAAGCTTTTGTCTCATTGTCTCTTGTCCCAGCTGTTTCCTCTCTCCAACTCTCTTTTTAAACCTACCACCTCCTGGTACCACACATCTCAAACCTGACACCCATTCTAACACCCAATATCAACCATAGCCATGGCTATGGCAGTGGACAACAGCTATGAGCTTGATTTATTTGGCAATAGCGCCACCACCACTTTCGACGAGGACCATAACTGGAAGGAATGGTCCCCAGTTGTCGACTGGGAAGCATTATCATGCGACCAAATCGATTATCAGGACCTCACTGAGTCCATGAGGGATGATCAAGGGTTGGACTTAGCTGGAATAGCTAATGAGAAGTCCAACTCTGGATCGGTATCAACGGACAGTACTGATGATACCATGCTTGCGGATGACGAAGCCAAGGTGGACAATTTCAAGGGGTTGAGGCTGGTTCACTTGCTGATGGCAGCCGCCGAGGCGCTAACAGGCGCCAACAAGAGCAGTGGATTAGCTCGGGTGATATTGGTTCGGCTCAAGGAGTTGGTGTCCCCTAATGGTGGAACCAACATGGAGAGGTTGGCGGCGTATTTCACGGATGCGTTACAAGGTTTGCTAGAAGGCTCTGGCGGCGGTCACGGTAATAGGCATTTGATCACTAACGGACACCGCCGTGACAATCATCTCCAGGCGGACCTGCTGGTGGCGTTGCAGCTGTTGCAGGACATGTCTCCTTATGTTAATTACGGACACTTCACCGCCAATCAAGCCATTCTAGAAGCCGTTACCCACGACAGGAGGATCCACATAGTAGATTACGACATTATGGAGGGGATCCAATGGGCATCCTTGATGCAGGCGTTGGTATCAAGGAAGGAAGGTCTACCAGCCCCACATCTCAGGATCACGGCGTTAACAAGGGGCGGCAGTGGACGGCGGTCGATCTGGAATGTCCAAGAGACAGGACGCCGTTTGATGGCATACGCGGCATCCATATGTCAACCCTTGTCCTTCAATCAGTGCCGGTTGGACTCCGACGAGACTTTTAGACCGTCGGCTTTGAAGTTGGTAAAAGGAGAAGCCCTGGTGATTAACTGCATGCTACATCTACCTCACTTTAGTTACCGGGCACCGAACTCGGTAGCTTCGTTTTTATCCGGAGCCAAGACCCTGAACCCGAGGCTGGTGACGCTGGTAGAAGAAGAGGTAGGGCCAATAATTAATGGAGGGTTCGTGGGACGGTTCATGGACTCATTGCACCACTACTCAGCGGTGTATGACTCGCTGGAGGCAGGGTTTCCGAGGCAGGGGAGGGCTCGGGCTTTGGTTGAGAGAGTGTTTTTGGGGCCTCAGATAGCCGGGTCATTGGGTCGGATCTACCGGAGCGTGGGAGAAGAGGAGGGGTGCCCGTGGTGGGGGTGGATAGGTGGGTTGGGGTTAAAACCGGTGAACATAAGCTTCGCAAATCATTGTCAAGCAAAGCTATTGGTGGGTTTATTCAATGATGGGTATAGAGTGGAAGAGTTGGGCAGCAACAGAATGGTATTGGGATGGAAATCCAGGCGTATGCTCTCCGCTTCTATTTGGACTGGTTACGATTCTGAATTTTGAGATAAGATTGTGCGTGTAATGTGTGTGTGTGTGTTTTTTAAAAATTTATTTGTTTGTGTCCTTAATTATCTGGTATGTTTCCTCTATGCTTTCGCATTAAATTAAATGTCTCCCTCGTTTAGCAACTCAATGTTGTCTCAGGACTTTGTTAATTGTTGATTTGGTAGTATTCTGCTGTTTGGTTGTAATAAAACTGCGGTTAATTGGGTGTGTATTTTTGTTATGCGAGACTTCTTTGGATTTGGAATTAGTTAAATACTCAAATTACTTCCTTTATGCGTCTCTAAAATTGTGTCTTTGTACTTTTGTCAACTTTTATTGGTATACGGGCAGTACCATATATAACGAGTAGAATAAAAATTAAAATGTTTAGATATTTAAAATGTCTAAATTATTTGTATATATAATTATTTAAATATTTTTAATAAATTTTTATTTTATATTAATTCATTGAAATTATTAAAAATTTTTTATTATTATTCTTAATATTTGAATTACTAAGATACCATAATTTTCATAGTCATCACATATATATTTTCTATTTTGTTTGTACACAACACACAAAAAAAAAAAAAATGTTATTGTAACTACTTTATTGTATTGATATGAAAAACAAACTTTAAATTTATACCCAAACTAATAAGTGGCACTTATCAATTTAGTCAAACTCTTATAATCTTAATTTAGTGACAATTGGTGAAAGCAATTTAAAAAGTTTTGAAAACCATGCGTTATGCGGATGGAGTGGATGAGTAAAAAATAGTGAAAAAGGTTGCTTTTGCGCACCCAAAATATATATAAAAAAGTGAGATTATTGGAGGTTGGCTTATCACCCTCTCTCTCTCTTCCTCCCATGTGTCAATGCAACCTATGATTCTTCCCCAACAAATATTGGATCTTTTGTCAAACTTATAGGCTTTGATATTTCAGAAAGAATTAATGTGGCATGCTTTTTGTGCACATGCTACCTCAGGAGCACCAAGTTAACACGACAACATCCCATAAAAAATATGATGCATAATTAGATGACCTTAATTTCTTGCTTATACAAAGACAAAGCAAATTAAAAAACCGCTAAATTCATAATTAAGGTGGCTTAAGCGTCATTGGTTCTGAATGTGAATGTGGAAATACAGGTACCTTGCATTCTTAATAAATTATTTAATTAGAAGGTTAATTATGCGCATATTTATCCAGCAAGTTGATGGAGCTGGTTACCATTAAAGGATTTTTTTAATTTGTATTTTAAAAATATATGTTAATGGTATAATTACTACAGTTTTTTGTCATTATTATTATTATTATTTTTTGAACTAAAGGGGAATTGTGGGGAATGGGGGAAGTAGTGTCTGGATGTAGAACTCATAACTTATATTTTATAGCATGTTCCATGAAATTTATGACTACTTAGTCACATAGTGCTAGACTAGTTTTTTTGTCATTAATTGTTATTGAAAATGACATAAAATAACATTAATTTCATCACTAATGCTATGTGAATTATTTTATTTAAATAATTGATGATTAAATAAAGATCAACTTTTATCTTTTTAATAATAATTTAGAAAAACTCAAAGTGAAAACTTAAGCGCTTAACGTGGATTAAAACTAAAATTAAAAACATGTTTTCCTGGCTAGAGTTGTTAAAATAATACCGCACATGTTTCCGTGAAATTGGAGTAAAATGTAAAGACATAATGTTTCAAGTTTGAACTCCATTCCGAAACATTAATCTTTTTTTCTCGTGGACAATAAGCTAATATAATAACGTTATTTAATCTCATTTGATGATGGATTATACATCTATTTGCATTTTTAAATTCCTCATCATCCATTTTAAGATTTAGGAGGCATTTGTAAGGTGTTCTCTCTACTTAAAAATATTAAATATTTTGAATTATAAATAATAATAATTATCAATTGTTGTTGAAGATCGATTTTTTTTTTGGTTTTCCATCCGGTATTCGGGGCGAACTCGACCAGCTGTGACACACCAGAATGGTGGGTGGGTCTCCCAACGAAAACTGCTGCATACACAAGGTTTCGAACTCGAAACCTTACTTAAGCTGGAACAAGCCGCTTGCCACTTGATCCAACCCCTCGTTGGTGTTGTTGAAGATCGATTATTAGCTAACAACTACATCTGAAAATTAATCTAAACATCGTAAATTTAAGAGTTTAAATTGAAATATTAAGTTGTTACCAAATTAAGTCATCTCTTTTGGTGCCATCTACCTTGAGGATTAAGTGAGCTTCAAATTATCAAACCCCCACCGGCCCACACCCACAATTACCCAAGTTAACAAAAATACAATCATCTCTTTGGAGAGCATTCGCTAGTCTATTGGCATCGATGTTTGGGCTGATCCATGAAAAGAACCCATCCAGCTTCGTGTTGGTCATCGGTTGATTCGGTCCCACCGCGGCCACCCGAGTTTTAGCCCACCTGATCCATGAGGGCAGTAGGAAGCTTCTTCGGCGGCTCGCGAGTTGGGATGGGACTGTTGCAGATTCTCCCTCAATGTATCTGGACAAGAACCCGCTCATATATGCTTAGACCGCCGCCCTTCAAACCCTCTACGTTGGTTGCTTTCTCTGAGCATCTGCAAAAGGCTGCTCTTTCTGTTAGGAGAATTCTCACTTTCACGGCTACCATGTCCACTCAGAAAGATTCCCTATCTGCACACGACGGCTCTTCCCAGAAGACCCCCCCGCCGTTGCAGGTATTCCCTCGATTTGTTTTTGGAGATTGGTTTTTGTATGAATATGATATGGGCGTTCCAGACTTTCCTTTGTTTGTCATTAAGGTTGTAAATTTTGGCGTTTTATGGTGAATTTGTTTGGAACTGAAATGGGTCTAGCCTTTTTTTATTCAAGTTTTGATCTTGATGCCCCTTCAACCCTTTATTTAGACTCGAATTTTTCGAGCCTCTTCAAGCTCTATAAATGCTAGCTTTATCAATCTCATGTTGTGCTCAATTCTGCTTGAAGTGGTTCCTAATATTTACAATTGGAAAGGTAGATATTTGGCTTAATGTCTACCTTAGTCTACATTTTTTCATGGAATTATCTGTGATTAGATGAATTGATTTGATACTAACTTCTAGCTGTGGAAAATTAATATTGTCACTGCCAATTTGGTAGCTAGTTTACTGGAAATTCTGTGACATTTGATATTTTGATGTATCTGAACAATCCTTAATTTCATTATTTTGATGGAAATGAGTATGCCATAAGGTCCCTTTATATCGTTAATCAGTACTTATGTTTCTTTGACTGAATTTCTTTACAGCTTGTTTGGTTTGAGGGGGCCCTCCCCTCTGTTACCCTCAAACCAAACAATTTTACAACTAAACCAATAGTTTCCCTGTCACAAATGATTCTCCTTTCCCAACTGCTCTTACATGTGTGGGGCTTGTAGTTAGTCTCAAATCTTTTCATATATATTTTGTAGCATTGGGAATTATTGAAACTCTTTCTTTAGGCAACTTATCAATACAAAGAACATTGGGATATGGTGGCTACTGCCTTTTTCTCTTTCAGTCTAACCACGACAACTATTGCCTGGCTTATTTAGGGCTTCTAGATTTACTTATGATTGCTTATGTATATATTTCCTTTTATTTTACAAATTGATTTGTTCTAGCAACAAAAAATATTCTCTAGTTGAACTCGCTATTTATGTGATGTAATATACAATTAGCTTGGGGTTGTCACTGCCCTTTATTTTCGTTCTCACCACAACTATTGTCTGGTTTATATGATAAATATATAAAATAGCTGGCAATTATCTCCTTCTACTGATCTGGCTATGTTTTGTCAGGTTGCAAAGCGCTTAGAGAAGTTCAAAACTACAATTTTTACTCAAATGAGTATGCTTGCCATCAAACATGGGGCAATAAACCTTGGTCAAGGCTTCCCCAACTTTGATGGTCCAGACTTTGTGAAAGAAGCTGCAATTCAAGCCATTAAGGATGGTAAAAACCAATATGCTCGTGGACATGGGATTCCACAGTTCGATGCTGCTATTGCTGAACGCTTCAAGAAGGATACTGGACTTGTGGTTGACCCTGAGAAGGAAGTTACTGTTACCTCGGGGTGCACAGAAGCTATTGCTGCAACCATGTTGGGCTTGATAAATCCTGGTGATGAGGTGATCCTCTTTGCTCCTTTTTATGATTCTTACGAAGCTACACTGTCAATGGCTGGTGCTGAAATAAAATGCATTACATTGCGCCCACCTGATTTTGCTGTTCCAATTGATGAGCTAAAGTCTACAATCTCAAAGAATACTCGTGCAATTCTAATAAACACTCCTCATAATCCCACTGGAAAGATGTTTACTCAAGAAGAACTCAATGTCATTGCATCTCTGTGCATTGAGAATGATGTATTAGTCTTTGCTGATGAAGTTTATGACAAATTGGCTTTTGAAATGGATCACATTTCTATCGCATCCCTTCCCGGTATGTATGACCGGACTGTAACCATGAATTCTTTGGGGAAGACCTTCTCCTTAACAGGGTGGAAAATTGGGTGGGCAATTGCCCCCCCACACTTGACTTGGGGATTAAGGCAAGCGCACTCATTCCTCACTTTTTCTACTTCCACTCCCATGCAGTGGGCTGCTACAACAGCACTTAGAGCCCCAGATTCCTATTATGTGGAGCTGAAGAGAGATTACATGGAAAAGAAGAAAATTTTGGTGGAGGGATTGAAGGATGTTGGTTTCAAGGTATTCCCATCGAGTGGAACATACTTTGTTGTTGTAGATCACACCCCCTTTGGACTCGATAATGATATTGCATTTTGTGAGTATTTGATCAAGGAAGTAGGGGTGGTAGCAATTCCAACTAGCGTATTTTACTTGAACCCTGAAGATGGGAAGAACTTGGTGAGATTTACCTTCTGCAAAGATGAAGGAACTTTGAGGTCTGCAGTTGAGAGGATGGAGGAGAAGCTCAAGAAGAAATGATCAAAATGTATGGATTTAGGTCATCTAACTGCAGTTATTTCATGGGATTTGGTGTTGTAATACCAAGGATATGGTACTTCACGTAACTATTATTCTTCAAAGTCTACAAGATGGGTGCATTACCCACAAATTTTAAATTAATGAATTATATGAGATGAATGGATATTTTTCCATGGTCCTTATTAATAATAAGTTTTAAACTGTGTTGAGTATCATCCTAGTTTGTTTATCCTTCTAAAATTGCAACTTATGATCTAATTCCTTGCATCACTGTTGGATTGATTTATTCATAATATGGACTTTGTAATCTGTACATTCGTCCTTGATTTGCTACATGAAATTTCAGTAGATGCATTCTCATTTTTTTTTTCTCTTAACATGTCATATATACAACCAGAAACAGTGCTTCCATTCATACCAGCTAGTGTTGGAACAAAACAGAAGTCATTCCCAAGTCGTCGTTGTATTTCATGAAATAATTGTTGATGACAGATCGTATTAATCTGGTGGATTATAAGCTAATCATTCGAATTAATGTCACTGTTACTCTCTCCGACACATACATAAAAGATGCTACTTTTATCTGTACTGCGAAACAGATCTTTTTGTCGTGGCAGAACAGAAAGCTGTCTGGTTGACTATTCAGAGCACTGAATTCCTGTCTGAATTCAGATTTCAAAATGCTTGTGTCATTCTACAGCTTGCAATTAAGAGTTGGGATTCAAGCAGTAACAGATAACTACTCCCATGTAATCTAAACATGATTTTCTCT